AGCCCATTTTGAGATTCCTTTACATCCAAGTTCTCTATTCGAGAGATTAGGCCCAATTTTTGCTCCTCAATTCTACCAAACTGATCTCTAATCCACTCTTTTATTTTGGCTCTCAACCTTTTTAATTTCTATGGAACTTGATCCCCTTCCATCTTACCCCCCTCTCCTCCTCACCCCACCACTCCTTCACTTTTTTCACAAAATCTGGATGGGTCAGCCACATATTTTCAAATCTAAAAGGTTTGGGTCCTATAGAAAAAGACTCAGTACCTATTTGGATAGGACAGTGATCGGAGGTGACCCTGGTTAACGCTCTAACAACCAAGTTTTCCAAACTATTCTCCCAAGCAAGGTTAAATAAGAATCAATCCAACTTCGAGCACAAGGGGGTTTCCTGAAGGTTGAACCAAGTGTTATTCATCTTCATTCTTTTTAATATAAATAATTTTTAATAAAAATAAAGAAAAAAGAGATCCTCCTTCCTCCTCCGTCCTCATCCCCCCCTCCTCTTAAGGAGGCTTATGCCTCCTTGTGTTCTAGAGGCTAACACCTCTTATGTTCTGAACTACGCCTCACACCTCTAGGTAGTAGAACGCCTCCGTGTTTTAAAGCATTGATGGATACATACATTTACATGTGTGTGTTTCTTAATTTTTTTTCCAGGAGATGATAAACCATGAATATTACTTCCTAAGCAGAAAAAAGTTCTGTATACAAATACTGATAGTAGTAAATACATTTAAAAGTAAAATTTAGATTCTCACCTCTTTGTCATTTTGATATTTCGCAATACTCAGAGGGTTCTGTGAACACTGCAAAACAATAATATTTTAGAAAAAAAAAATTGAATTACAAAACAAATACCATAATAAAGTGTCTTACATCCATGATGGCAGCCTGTACTCTTGGATTCTGAAACGCCATGGCAACATCAGGATTGGCCATAATTTTTGAAATGACCTCTTCTGGTGTAAGCCCAATTTGATCTGAAAAATAAAAGTGGATATAAATTAAACGAAAAATATGTAGCCATGATATAAAAGTGAGAAACCATAATATTTAATCTGTAGTCCTTAAGCTAGGAAGATAATAAGCCAAATAATAAGAACCAACTTCTAACCTTCAATGTCTATAATGTCGATGCATCAATGTCCATAAAGTAACGCAAGGTTAAGAAAGAAAATAAAGCATTATTACAGACAATTCTTCTTAATTAATATGGGTGCTTAGGACAAAAAGCATAAAGACAAGATTGCCTAGTTACTTCGGAAGAGGAGACAGTTTGCCATTTGTCCTTCTTTTGCAACACTGCAACACAGAAGAATTGTTCTTTAGTTGGCCAATGCTCAGAGGTAGCAGGAAAGGAAGGATAGTTTGGAGCTGCATCCCATTTGCAGTATGCTGAGTCATCTGGAATAATGGAATAGAAGCTATTTGAAAATAAGTCCAAGAGCATTGAGGTGTTTGTGCCTTCGGTTGGAATACTAGTGTTGGATTCAGTTTTGGTGCTCCCAGATTTTGCTCAAGTTAATTGGGCAGATCTGGGGGAGAGTTTCTGGAATGTACTTAAAATCCAGGTCTGTAATGCTAAACAGTTTTCAGTAGATTAGTTCTGTTAAAGTTGCTCTTTCTGAGGAGCCAACTTTCTTGAGGTGTCATCTTGACACCTTTCAGATAATATTCCTTTTTGTTTAATGAAATCTTTTATTTTTACTGATCAGAAAAAGAAAAAACTCTAAGTACTTTAACATCTTTGGCATCAAAACCAAGTAAGGTTCTTTGTTTATAAGCAAATATAATATGAAAGGTTATTTATCACAAAAAAATATAATATGGAAGGTCCTTAGACTCTAGTAAAATTTAATTTGATTGAGCTGTGGTTATAAATAACATAGGTAATTAGCTTTTAATTCATAAAGTTTTGACATTAGAAGATTAACATTTAGAGGTTAATAAGCAATCAAATTTAGAACTAAAGCTAGGTCTTTTTATACTACAGTGGTTTGTCCTCCAAGTTAGTGTTAACCATAGTGCTCTGTGCAAATTCCTCAAAGCAGTGTGCATACTACAGATGCCCTTTTTATTATAAGTTAATACCATATCCTAATGATTTAAAGAAAATTTCATTTGAGAGAGATAGCCTTATTAGTAACTGTATAGAACCTGTTTTGGAGCTATTTCATTTTCTTTTGTTTCTACAGTACACTACATAAGACCCAGAGGCTGTGTGCATTAAAAGTAATGTGCAGATTATCTTGGGTACTGTTTGGATGTACTTTTATAAAGTACATCTCTGTTTTACAAAGTACAATTTATCAGAAAAGTAGCTTGAGGTTTTGGATACCCATGATTGTGTTTTCTGTTAGTATTTTACATTGGGCTTCAAGAATAACACAAGGATCACATGGCACTCTTTTACAATAATAAAAAAGAAATAATTAATTAAATAATAAAGTAATTCAAAAAATACTTAAATAAACAATTAGAAACGTAATAAAATATTTGTTAATTAATAGTAAAAATTATTAACCAACTAATAAAATGATTAAATAAATCATAAAATTAATAAAAAATTAAGTATATAAGAAAAATGATGAAATAATTAATAAAAATAAAGGCAGTTACTGAATTAATTAAATAAAATGAGGAAATATATTAATGATTAAGAAAACAAAATTAAATGTGTTATATAATAAATAAATAAAATAATTAAACATTTAATAAAAACTCCACATGGAAAAATGGTAGGTGACAGAAATGGCCCATTGGCATATTTTGCCACTTGGCAGTCATGGAAATCATATTTGGCATGTTCGTGAAGTGTTTGGAAGATAGGGCTGTAGTAAGATTTTTGTCCATGTGGCATATGTATGGAAGTAGATGTTTCATTCAGTGATTTAAAAGGCACACCTTGCACATACGAGGCACATTTCAGGGTAGGCGCCCCTCCAAGTCCTAGGTGCAGCCCTTTCAAAAGGTGCATGCCTAGTGCGCCTTGCACCTCAGCCCAGGCAAGTGCCTTTTGAAACTTTGACGCTTTTTTTGTGTCTAGCGGCTGGGCCAAGGGCTCCGCTCAGCCCCTATTTGGTAATGTTGTTCATTCATTCATCCTAATAAAATATCTTCTTAAAAAGCAATTTAAACTACAAAATCAGTATTTTTTGTGTGAGAACTAATAATTTAAGACCTAACGTGGATTTGTTTGGCCTTGCCTCGAGGGGTGTGGAACAAAGGAAGCTTGTAGAATCAGGAATGTAATATGATTTACATCACATTAGCTACTTGAAGTAATGCAATTGAGAAAAAAAGAGATTGTGGGTTTTATATGCTTGAAAATGTTTTATATATTTGATTTTATATTTAAATTCTCATTTGAATATGCTTTACATGTTATACTTATGTATTTTAATATTAGATAATAGGTTTTTTAAAACATTTATTTTAAAATTAAAGTTTACATTTTTATTAATATTACATTTAATAATTGTTTGCATTTTTTTGAATGTTTTGGTAATTTTTTATTTTTTAGCCTTTTTTTATTTTTGTGCCTTGATTAAAAAGGCACACGCCTCGCCTTGCTCCTTGCGCCTCAAGCGCATATTGACCCATGCGCCCTTTTTGTGCCTTGTGCTTTTAAAACACTGGTTTCATTAACTTGTGTGCAGTGTTTTAAAAGGCATGGGAGGCATACGCCTGGAGGCGTGCTCCCAAAATGCCACAAGGCATATGCTAGACGTTGACACCTCTAAGGCATACGCCTCATGCACTTTTTTCATGAGGCATGCTAAAGGCGTACACCTCATGCACATCTTATGTAAAAAGACAAAAAAAAAGAAAAAGGAAAAAAAGAAAGGGAAAGATAAAGAAAGAGAAGAAAAAAAGAGAAAAGGAAAGGAAAGGGAAACACCAAGCGTGTGATTTACATGTTATGTTTATATATTTTTATTTTAGATAATAGGTTTTTTAAAACATTTATTTTAAACTATTTGGCCAACGTCCACTATGAAGTTGTTGGGGATAACCATATATCCAGCAAATCGCCAAATCAACTACTAACTACTAACTAGTCTATTTTAGTTGTTTCTGTTTATCTGTAACTTTCAAAATAGTATTATATATATCATTATATTGTTATGCATGCCAACTTCTTAACACAAATATCACCAGGCTGGAAGAGGTATACAAATAGATATTTCTTTTAGCTCATTTTCTGATCACAAGTGTTCTTGTCAAGGTCTCTCCCTATCCTGTTAGCAAAACAAAGACTATGATGTTTTACAAACTAATACATAAGTGGCATCATTATATTAAATTTGGATATATCATTTTTGTAATCAAACTCTGTTAGTGCATATTTGTCTTACGCCACTGGTCCCAAGCCCAGATAAAGGAGGGTTGCATCAGGTTGGCAACCAGCAATAAAACCTTTGTCGAACACTTATGGTCATGAATCCTTAAATTGACCTTTTCCATACTTTGCTTTGATAGTTCATAAAAAGGGATAGATCGAGGATGATGTCACCAATAGAATTAGAGCAAGATGTGGAAAATGGGGGGGTGCATCCAGAGTCTTATCTGATAGATGAATACCACTTAAAAGGAAAATTTATACCACAGTAAGATGGAGTAGTTCTAATAGGTGATAAAATGATAGAAAGTACATTCAGATGGTTTGGTCACATGCATAAAAGAACACCTACAGCACCCACAAATATCACATTCAGATGGTTCTCCTCTCTTACAAATATTTCTTAACCATAGTTGCCAAGGATTTGCCTGGCACCCACCTAGGTGTCACCATCGTTCACAATTTCAATATTGGTGGACATTTTTCCATATAGAGATGGGGAGATTTCTAATGCTGTAAGACGTTTTAGAAGGCAGAAGAATCACCAGACAGTTCGGGCATCAAAGGTTTTCACCAAACTGAAAGGGGGTTGTTCAGAGTCAGTATCAAGAGACTGAAGAAAAAAGGAAGATTTTCCAAAAAAGCAGAGGTTTTCTGTTTCAAGCAAGAGATGTTGAAAAGTAAATGAGTAGTTTCACATCCCAATATCAAGTTGTTGCTAAAGATCAAATGTTCTGTTGTGAGGGTTGTGGAATCAGTCACATATCAGGTTAGCTTTGGTAATTCTCAGGGTCTGTTTGGTTTGCAGACAGGATTGGAATTGGAACCGCGACTGGAATCCCCAGGAATCAGAATTGGATTCCAATTGTTGTTGTTTGGTTCGTTTGGAGTTGGAATCAGAAACAACTGAAAACGTTCAATTTTATATTAGTCTACTTATTATTTTATTATTACCTAATTAATATTTTATGAATATATAATTATTTTATTAGTACATTGTTATTATTATTATTTTATTTTTTTGATCAATTATTATTATTTTATTATTACTAATAGTGTTTCTATTATTATATTTTTAATATTTATTATTTTATTCTATTTTATTATTACTTTAGTTATGTTATATTAATATTTATTTATACTTAATTATTTAATAACTGATATCTTTGTTTTATAATTAATTTTTAATATTTTATTATAGTACTATTATTTTATTACTATTTTACAACAGTTTTGTTAATAAATTATTAATATATTATTATTAATGTATAATATTTTATTATTCTATTAATATTAAGGTTTGGGGGGTTGTCATGAGTTTTTACTTGTTGACAGACTCTAAAAAATGGGAATCGCATTCCCTAGGGGAAGCCTGGAATGGCCATTCCCCCAAGAATAGGAATTAGAATCACATTCCTGCCAAACAAACAGTTAGAATTGAATGGGCCATTCCGATTCCAAATCAAGGAAACCAAACAGACCCTCAATTTGTTTAGCTTGGAGAGTTGTTCAATGGTTTGTTTTTTTGGGTGAGAGAAGATAAGGATTTTGATTTGGGTGGCGTTTGGATTAAGAGCCATTATTTCTTCTCTTGGGTGACTTTTGGTCACCTTTCTTGTAACTTCTTTTTCTTTTAAT